ATCCTCCGGGTTATTTATCGGGTCTCGAGATTGTTCGATCGCTGATTGATTGGTGGTGATGTTGTGAAACAATATTGCAATGATAGCGTTTCTATACTTTCACTATTTCATTTACATTTGAAGTCATAATGAATTGATACAGTGTTAGAATATTTATAAAGAACGTAAAATTCACTCATTTTGGACATAAGTCAATTAACACGCTAAATAGATCAACGTTTACAAAAGAAGCTAAACTTGTTACAAACATAATCATTGCTATTGAGCAAATATCGTCTAGTTTATGTTTTTCACACGTCTGAAGGGAACAGATTGGTCGAGATAAACAAAGGATAATAGTGTGAAAATAACTGTTGGGGCTGAAATTTTACATCGAGATACTGAAAATATCGAAATAAAAATATCGAAAAAAAAAATTTCCAATATAGATAAAGAAGGAAGAAAATCGGGACTTTCATACTTTCATCGAGATAACGAAATATCAACAAAAACGATGTCGAGATAACGAAAGTTGACTTGACTGATGATTAACGGACAGTCAAAACGTCACCATTTGATGACAGAATGATCTTAAACATTCTATCTGCTCGTTATTTTCCTCATTCGTTTTACGTTTCCGACATAGGATTACTCAAAACAGATGATTTGAGTTTAATCAGCGAAATACTGCCCACTGTTTGTAAACATCATGCGACATTCTAATTCATCACTGCTTAACAATTTAAGTATCACTTTTCAAGATTAATGTATTTTTTGGTACATTCTTAAATGGTTGGAACAGCATCGACAGTAGTTGTATGATAATTGTTTTAACACGTTTAAGGTTTGTTAATGCAAATGTAAATACACATATCATGTTTAGAACTAAATCTTCTAAAGTCGATGCCAACAGTGCATATTGGTATTGCACTTTTGTTATGTCTCAGAAACAAACCTAGTACAGCAAGGTCAATACAGTGACGACACATATTCATATATTTGTTTTTGATGCGTTCGTGGCATCTTTCGTTTCCATAATATCTTTTTGTATTTTAAGATTCACGAGAAACCTGGAATATATATATGATCAGAGAACAAACATGAATGTACGTAAACAATATGTTAAATATTCGATATACTCATAATCAATAATTGATATCAATTTCTAACCTTTACCTTCAATCTTCAGCGTCCAAAATATTACGAAATCGAGAAAATGTGAAAAAGGTGAAATTCGTGCATTCCTTATTATAAGAATTTTAGCGAGTAGTAGGTTACATGTAAGGGCATCCGAGTTGTTAAAGACCCGCCAGTGAATAATGTGAAGTGAGGAAGCTATGCTGCTAGCTTTCGGAATATGGGTCGTTCTTCTCAGTAGCTCGCACGTGCTTGAAATAACAGCAGTTGTTATCTCCATACTTTATGAAGTAAATTGTCAAGCTATATATTGAAAGCTTATGCAAATTGTGATTTCTATTTCTTCGATTGAATCGATATTGTTCAAACTAAATTGCTGTTGCTTTTTTCACAAACCAAACCAATGAGTACACTAAATAATTCTTTTCTCTGATACGTGAATTTTCCATTAAAACTTCTATTTTATTGTTAATTTTCTGTAATTATTGCATTTAATGTACAAACGTCTACTTTAATTCATCGTAACCGGTTTGCTTTGACAACAACTCGGTGTTGATGACATACGAGGTGATACAAATATTTATATCAACTTATATGTCTGTCTGGTTTCTACGCCGATGGCAACGAATTATGATAATATCATGATAATATCATAATTACATTATCTATTTTTTTTTCTGATAACCTACCAGCAATTGCCAATTCATCAAAAAGTGACCGATCACTTTTCTCACATTTCTGAATCCGTGGTGATTTACTAGGCACTGTGATAACATCAATAGTGTTTCTTCATTACTTACATATTCACCAAAGTCATGAACTTTCAACATTATTTATATAGTCGAGAAAGTCATTGTCTGCAAGATGTGTTAAGACGACAATTTCCAATGTTCCTATACATAAGATAGAAATTTACAAACAAATCTAGACTTGTTCTGCAGCCCAAGCTAACTATTATAAGAAATTATACAAAACATCTTAATCGACTCAACCAAACTTATTTGTGTTTTTTTCGGAAAATGTCTTCTGTACATATCTTATTACTGAATCACATGCTCAGGCATTTTCTAGAAACATCTGCAGATTGCTTTTGTGGGAGCAATCTGCAGATGTTTCTAAAATAACATCTTCAAATAAGGTTTAACTCGTTAAAATGAGATGGCAATTTATTAATTATAGCAGTAAGTATAATAAAATATAATATTGAATGTAATGAATAGTTGGAATATGTATATATGTGAGACGATAATCGTGGCAGTCGTGTTTTGTTAACAATGTTTTATGTAGAAAATGTGAATTTGAAATGTTCTTATTCAGTTTCATTCATTCATTCATTCATTCAATCAATCAATCAATCAATTAATCAATCAATTAATCAATCAATCAATCATTCATTCATTCATTCATTCATCCACCCATTCATTTAATTTCTTTACTTTTTATTCATTAATTTAACACATATATTTCTTTGATTGTTTCTCCTTCTAAATAATATTCCAGATAATGGGTAACCGATTCATAGGCAGAATACGTACAGACTACTCTAGGTTATCTTTAAAATATGTGTACATATATTTCAATTAAGCGTATTTTGTGATTTGAATTTAAAGATTCAAATTGTAGTGCAGACATACGGTGACACAAAGGTGACATGTGTGTATTTTCATTTATCTCGTGGCCACGATATACTATGTCGTGGCCACGAAGTACTAAGTCGTGGCCACCAGATATGTTTAAACGTGGCCACGAATACTATGTCGTGGCCACGAGTTTACTAGGTGTCGTGGCCACGAGAAAGCTAAGTCGTTTGGTCACGAGATAGTATGTCGTGACCACGAGTTACTAAGTCGTGGACACGAGATAGCTAAGCCGTGGCCACAAGATACTATGTCGTGGCCAAGAGTTACTAAATCGTGGCCACGAGATAGCTAAGTCGTGGCCCGAGATACTATGTCGTGTTCACGAGTTACTAAGTCGTGGGAACGTGATAGCTTAGTCGTTGCTACGAGATAACTAACCAATCAGAATGCACTATATATATAATTATTAATTTTCTAAACTTAACATCTTTCTTTTACATGCAACATTAATCTTTGAAAATACTGAAGATGTTCACTTTGAACTTGTCTTTAGGATTTTATTAGAAAGTCACCCTCCAAGGTCAATCAGACATTAATTACTACGGCCTGTTAACCTTGTTGATACGATAACATGAGAAGGAATAGGTCCTGGTTTATTTTATTTTGAAGGGACATTGCCCATGGACAGTAGATAGCCTATAATGTAAAATCCTTATCTGATGAATAATTTAGAAGGGATAACCCATGGTTTATATAACCCAGTAAGATCATTGCACCTGATCAGTAGATGACATCTAATAATTTCGAGGTCATTGTGTCAAAAATCAGGGTCACAGTGACGATAAATGTAAAATTATTGACCAGTCAATAAGTTTTATAAATGGCACTTTTACAGGCTGGTGAAGTTGGGGCATCCTTGTACTATAACACCTGTCGAGTTAATAAGGGAAGTTCATAAAATGGTGTAATCTGATTGGTTATTTATCTTGTGGCCACGACTTAGCTATCTCGATGCCACGACTTGGTAACTCGTGGCCACGACATAGTATCTCGTGGCCACAACTTAGTAACTCGGGGCCACGACATAGTATCTCGTGGCCACGAGATAAATAAAAACACATTGCTGGTACTGGCAATGCTTACAAAAAATTAAAACACAAATAAAATGGTATGATTTCGAGTGATACACTGTGCCATTTGCACTATATAAACAATCAATGAAAGTTTGTTTAGATTTAGTGTGTTAATATAATTGTAAACAAAACATAAAATTGCTTATTTTCCTTCTAATTTTAATGTTTCTATCTATCATGAACTTAAAATTTATCGAATTTTGCGCTATAGCAAACAATAGTAATGCAATTAAAATAAATTAGATAAACTGCATTTATGTAATAAAACATGGGCACGTTTACGAGCATTTCATTTGTTAAACTTAATATCACGAATTTGATATTAACATTTAAACTTATTGCGTGCTTTAATATTTGCATAAACAAAGTTTTTACTTTGTCCTGGGGAGGCGGATATCCCATAAATTAGAAATGTATTTCTCAAAGTTAATTCATGAAAAAAAATCCCAACAACTTTACCCATTACAATGGACGAAAAAAAAATAACTTAAGAAATTAAAAGAATATGCAGCAGATATAGCATTACTGATTTCTCCACTAATGTTGCATATTATTGAAAGAAAAAATGGATAAGTTTTTTTTAAACATCTATAAAACATAAAAAAATTCGCATAATTATATACAGTATTACGATCTGTCAATTAATCATTAAATTTGTTTCAAAGAATCACAACACAATACCAAAGAATTAACCCCGAATGCATTTAAAGATTACATCTAATTACGTTACGTTCTGTAATATCTAGTGATGATAGCTTGACCTAGTACAAACAAGTCCACAATTCTAAAGAGAAATCAATAAAAACAATAAATGAAATGTTTCACGATTCACGTGTTCAACAGAGTAAATAATTCTCTTTTTAAACAAAAGAAAAACAAAACAGAGTATTTTACTCTAAATAATTTATTCTTTCTGCCATTCTTATAATTTTATAAGGAAACTCGTTAGGATCATGACATTTAGTTCGCTATATCCAAGGTTTCTTATGAACAATTAAAGGAAATAGTATCTTATATAGCGAACATAAATATATAAATAACGGCATACGCGTTCGACGAGTTTATAGATAAAACTGTCATGTATTCTTATTTTCATACATTTATAGTGAAATCATCATTACAACAATTTTCCATAGAAATTTATGTCATTACACCCGTAACTACATTCTTAAAACAGTGAAATAAATCGGAAACAGGGGAAAGTGTTTCTTATATAAATCGAGTGTACGTTGTATCCGAGTTTGCAATAAATGAGTTCCACAGTTTTAAATGATTAATTGGATCTTTATATGAAATGTATTAATTTGAACAAAAACAGCTGTACATGATTTTAAATCTGCAAACAATCATCACTGATGGTAGAAACTGTAGTTTATTTGCTGTCTGTTTTTAAATTCTACGAACAACCCGCATTATGCACGACCTTGTGACCCGACGGGTAACATATTAAATCTCCTTGGCATGTTTCCTGTCAAAACAAAACAATAAAAAAATAAATATAAAACATACAAAAATAATGCAAATTTAGCTTCACAATATGGGACAAACCGTTTGCAAAATTTCAATAGCATAGTGATTTATGTGTTGTTCAAACACAAATACTGACTGAAGATATTATGAATAAGACAGGTATTTCTAGGATCTTGACTTACTAAAGATTTCGGACACATTACTTTAAATAAGTGGTCGGGGTTCGGAAAGATACTTACTCTGGTAAGAACGCCATTTTCTTATGCTAACACCAGTACTTATGAGTCAATGAGGTTAATCTAATATTGGACCAAAATAAATAGACATTTTATTTCACTAAGGCACGATTAAATTCTTTTTTATTACTTTGACACATTTGGCTGCTGTATTCAATAGAAAAAAGCATTGCTTGACTAGTATAGAGTTTGCGAATTCAGACCAGGCTCTTATGACTGACAACTTTCAGATTGCCATCGTGATATATCAACAATACATAAGGGAGAGTTCAGTAAATAAATTATGCACAAGTCATACTAAGAACATAGAACGTTAAGGGTTAATATATATAATTCTCATTTATGAGAATAGTTATAGGGAATCGGACAACTTGTCTGCTACAAGCTCTTATTTAAAATATTAATGAAAATTAGATTTTTTCTATACAATATTATTGAAAAAATATCATTTTCTCTGCATGAAAAATAAGAGACATGACAAAGTAACATCTGAATTCATTTATGCACCGACTACATAAAACATACCAACAATGGTTTGTGAGGTACACAAAACACGTTAAACTTGAAGAAACAGTGTTTTAGAAAATCTAAAATGGCACAGTAATATTTTCTATGTCTAAATGTTTCTCTTATCTCGAAATTTTGTGGAATGACTTTGATCAACGATTAAGATTAAGAAACAAATTGAAAAGATTTGGTATTAATACTATAAAACAAACAAGTCGTACCAATATGCCAGGAATGGGCATTGAACCGGTGAACCTAATGCGGTATTCGGTTGTGTAAGGAGCAGGCTGAAACAAGAAATAAAAAAAGATTAAACTCTTTATAACGCTGGTGTAAAATTATACTTTGTTTCTTTTTATTGTCGGACTTAACGTCGTACCAACATATTATAGGTCATATGGCGACTTTTTACCATTACTGGTGATTTTGAATTAACGACTTTAATGTTCTTCGACCTTGGACACCCCTAGTTTTTTTTTTGTTTTTGTTGTTGTTGTCTTTTAATCAAACCTGTGTTCAGACAATAAATGTATATGATTCTGACAATGCATTAGATTACTTAATGCAATTATTAACCAGAATACGATTTATATCAATACAACAGCTATATATGTTATTGAAAGATATTTTACATGTATAATTATAGCTTTAATTTATTTTTTCTATTCTTACAATTAAATTAAGAATAGTTCTAAAGTGCCTGTTTGAGAGATATACGGTGGTACAGTTACTTAAAAGCAAATACACCCAGTCATTGCTGAATGGTTGAAAATCTTACTGTAAACAAGCGTATTATTTTGTTCTGGAGCATTTTGTTCCATTTCTGTTTATGTGTGTTAAATAATATAGGCATATTAAATATGTAATTACTATTTCGATAATTTCCCAAAAACTTTATATACCAATATTTCAAAAGATTTATGCTTTATGCTTTTGAAATACATTGAAGTTATAAAATTCTAAATTATAAAAAAACTGACTCGACAAAAACACTAAAATTCGATATCCATTAAAATATCTTTAGGAGAATCTGTTCAGCCATCAAATATTTTACGCCTGGTTAACCTTGTTCTAGAAGTATATTTGTAAAAATACAATTTCATATTTTATTTTCAAACTGCCTATTCGTTATTGAACGCCGCCTTTCCGTTTTGATTTTGTTTATCTTGTTTAATACAATCAAAATAAGTTGTAATCATTTCTGTTTAACATTCATTTTGATAAATGCCCTAGTTTAGAATAATACATATTTTGTCCTGAAGGTAATAATACGACTGTGGTCAAGAACATATCTGCAATGTAATTAAAATATTACGGATAACTAGTTATCGTAATCTAGATTTTAAGTAGCAAATTACATAGAATGCTACAATAAAAACACGATTAACTGACATTTCAAGAATAATTAGAAATATATATAAAAAGATAAAAACAAAATGAAACAAAAAATAACAAAAACAAATTCATTGACATACTTTAGTCTAATTTTGTTTATGAACTGAGCATGTTATAATTTTTAAAGAAAACTGCATAATCTTAATATTTGAATTTTAAAAAAAGGAACAAAAAGGTTTCTGCACTGCTATAATTATGATAGTCTTCACTCACGTCAAGCCTTTTAAAGGCAAACTCCGTAGCTACAACCCGTCTAATCAGTTCTTTTGCGATGCGGTCTCTAGCTTTCACAGCCTCTGCTGAATCCGGATCAATCCTGATCCATATTGCCGAGAAGACAGAAATAAAACAAATACTTGATAACAAGAGAATACTTAAATAATTTTTCACGAAAGCTGTCTGCATTTTCTTGTTGTTTAATAAGTTGAATGTGCATATGTGCTATCCAAGTGGTAATGTTTAAAACGTGTCAATGCTTATAAACCAAACTGTCCAGAGTTGACTGCTAGCAAACAAGACGAAAATATTAATATGTGCATACTAATCATTTCAATAAAAACACATACGTTTGTATAAACCGTAAGTTTGAATAAGGAAAAAAATAATAATATACATAAACGCCAAACGTAATTAATCATAAATAAGTGTCATATTCTTGATCTTGTTGCCAAGACAGAAGGATATAATAAAATATCTATTAAATAAATTATGATTTGTCAAGGACATTTCACAGTTTGCCTCGTCTACAGATGAGCAAACAAAATTTCAAAATATGCTTAAGGAAATGTATAGCGCGCTTTGAATAATTATGATTTGTATGTAGTACTCATAATCACCTTTAGGGCTCATTTGATGTCCTCTAGGTCTCCTTGCCGCTGGTTCTTGTTGCTGTGTCGTTTGGGGATCATTATACGCCTCCTTTCCTTGTTGATCTTGTTTATCATATTGCATGGAATGCGCAAGACAAGACACTGAAGCACCTTCACACAATGTGCCTTTCAATCCTTGAAATGTAGTCATCACTTTGTATTGTCGTTAAACAATTACGCTCGCATACTAGTAATCTACTGTTTCGTCTGCTAGAAAATCAATGCTTGAATATCTGCTTATATCTTGTCAAAGCTAATATTTAGTTGCGTTTCTACATTTTACATCTGTCAGTGTCCAATAATATTAAGATGTAGACAACTAAATCAATTATTTATTTAACACAAATACGCGTGGCCAAATATAACTATAATTAATAAACTATGTGCATATTTTGAAGCTTATTAATGAGTTATTTTGTTCATTTTAATTTTAATAAAACACCATTTTGTCGTTTGACTTGAAATATTTAAATTGTTATGCATACGTAATGGTTTTGTCAATTCTTGCAGTGAATTAATAGTGCATTATTTTAAAAGTTTTACTATACTGCAGCATTTTAGCAAACAATAAGCATGCAATAAAATGAAAGTTTAATGGATATATTTCATTAAAATGAAATGCAATAAAAAACAAAAGGCAGGTCTTTTTCTTTAACTTAAATCATGAATTTGACATTTTATTGAACTCGTTTTATACTTGTTTATTTGCCACAATTTAATATTAAGCACGATTCTTATGTCATAAGAAACGAAGTCAGAGTCGGTTACTTTTAATAATACTTAAAGGCCCATTGTGCCCTAGAAATGCATAATTGTATTTTTATTTTTCAAAGTTTTTTTTATAACAAACAAATACTCAAAATTATTCATTTTCAAATTACCTATAAAATCTTTTGTTTCTGGCATTTAATATAGTTATTCTTACAGTGATTTAATATTTTGTATGAACGTCAAAATACTACTTTGTTTACATTTTTTCTACTTTTAAGACAAATAATTTCACGTATATTGATTCTTTCTTCATGTGATACGTGTCTAACATTCTCATAAATCTTAATTTGAACGTTATAAATTTATGTTTGTCCTTTCTGAAGAAGAAATTATTTATTCACTTCTGAAGCATAATGTGCCTTAAAGGTTACTATGTTATTCTCTGTCTTCAAGATGCTAAGATAAGATGTAATATAAGCCTAGGCCAAATGATAACAATGAAAGATGGAACATTTTCAACTCTAATTCATCTTCTACACCAAAACAATGATTTCGTTCTTATCACATTATAATAGTATTGCTTTTATGCTCGACTTTTTGAAGAATATTAAGAGCTTTTGAACTTAACGTCGACGTCGTGTCGTTGATGTTGTGGAAAAGGCACAATTTGCTGCAGATGAAACTACTTAGTTGCATAAGCAATATAAAATTATTCGTTTGTAAATGAAAACTTAATTTGTCTTTTTATTTAATTTGGGTAATATAATATATATAAATTACAAAAAATGAAAATAATACGTAGTTTACTGATTTGACTTTAAATTAAGCATATAAAATACACAAAAATGTAATACTTTTGTCTATTCTTTTCTTTATGGTATTTGTAGTGCCGTCCGTAAAATAATGGGATAGATTGGCTGTCTTTTGGGGATACTTTTTGTCTAGTTTTGTCTAATTAGTTTGTCTATGTCTATGTCAGAATAAGATATAATGCTTGTTGATGCATTAATATTAATTTGCCTATTGTAAAGGAATAAAATACGAAACATCAGACGTTTCGATACTTTAAACTATATATCTGAGTAGACGTATTAAATTGTTTGCAGAATAGGTAGTTTTAATCATCGTCAGTTAATAACAAAGCAGTTTTTTAGCTCGACTATGTGAAGTATATGGAGAGCTGTCCTTCTCGCCCCAGCGTTGGCGTGGGCGTCCGCGTCCAGATTTCAAATTAGTTTTGGTGCAGTAAAATATTTTTTATTTACTGTAACTTCTTTATTTCTTTAGGGATAAAATTCAAATTTCAAATATATGTTCCTTCTCATCAACCACATCTTATGTGGCAAGGTTTTTAACTCTTGCACCAATCTTTTTAGATTTATTTCCCCTTTAACTTAGAATTTTCCTTAAAAAATATTATTTAAACTGTTACTTCTTTATTTCTGAATGGATCAACTTAAAACTTCGAAAATGTGTTCCTTATCATTATCCACATCTTATTTGACAAGGTTCATAACTCTAGTACCAATATTGCAAGAATTATCTCCCCGTTAACTAAGATGTATTTTACTTGACAAACGTTATGTTTTACTATAACGTCTTTAGTTGTAAAGGTATCTACCTCAAATTTCAAATACATATTCCTTATCACCAACCAGATCTTATGTGAAAAGTTTCATAACGCTTGAAGCAATATTTTTAGATTTATCTCCCTTCGAATTTCTTTAGGAAATATTATAACTTCTTTACTTTATAAGGTATCTACTTCAAATATACATTTCTTATCATTACATGCATGTTGTGAGACAAAGTCAATGACTCATATGTGGCTATTTCCAGAAATGTTCCCCCATTGAACTTGGAATTTATGTTAACAACAATAACAGTACCGTCCATGAACAGACTCAATCAAACCGAGCCTGCAACATTTTACAATTTTGTCGTGTTGGGCTTTCTTTAGGGATTCTGTATTTCTCTATTTCATTGTCACATCCGTGTTATTTGTGCCGTGTGGCGGCTGTAAAAAGTCTCCCCGTACATTTAATCAATGATGTTATATTTACGATCCTTGAAGATCGTTCAGCACGACATTATTGTTGTGTATACATGTTATGTGGTACTTTAAGTTTCTTCTATTTGGCCTTTTTTCAACTTGGGTGGTTCCAGTATTCCTACTTGAATACTGTATAATCACCCTTAGGATATGTTACCTGCTTTTTAAATCTGTCTTTTGACGTCATATCTGTGATATGCAGGCTTCATAACCTCAGATCCCCTTTCAAAATTCCATTTTATTTAGTTCCGCCCATTGTTTTTCCGTTTAGGGGGCACACGCATTATTTTATTTGGGGATCATAAGCCGGTTTTCATGTAATAGCATTACTGTGTCAAATTGAATGTTTGAAGATATGAACACATCTCCGGATGATTCTAAATTCAAAATTACACCATTTTCGTGTTTAAATGTTGAATTCTGCTTAAGCCGGTGCTAGGGGGCGTGGACGATAGTTTGCACTTAACAGTACCGTCCATGAACAGGCTCAATCAAACCGAGCCTGCAACATTTTTCCATTTTGTCGTGTTGGGCTTTCTTTAGGGATTCTGTATTTCTCTATTTCTTGTCAAAAGAAGAAATAATTATATTTACATCATAATTGATTTTTCTTTCAATGTTTTGTCTTCCTTACTGCGTCCAGTATTAGGGATAAAATTCAAATTTCAGTATTAGTCGAGCTTCGCTGTCTCCTGTTTCAGAACCAAATTGCATCTCGACATTCTGACAATTTAAATAAATACATGTATGGTAAGTGTTACATTCAGACCTATAAGGAATCGTTATTAATATCTTTAAATAATTACATCAAAAATACTTGAGACTTGGAACAATTGCATATGTATTACTTCTTTCTTTAAAAATCATATCGATAATCGGAAAATAAGAATGATTGAATTGAAAAAAAACACACACACACACAAACAAGAACAAGTATTCTTATCATTTTGTACATACCCATTTTTCGAATGGATAAGGTACAGCTTACAGGTATCAATCTGTAGGTCCAAACAGCAAACGTACCCAAAGGTTTTAGCCCATAACGAGAAAGAACGCTGTTGTAATTGATGATTAACAGACGGTCAAAACGTCACCATTTAATGACAGAATGATCCTTAACATTCTATCTGCTCGTTATTGTCCTCATTCGTTTTACGTTTCCGACAGAGGATTACTCAAAACAGATGATTTGAGTTTAATCAGCGAACTATTAATCACTGTTTGTAAACATCATGCGACATTCTAATTCATCACTGCTTTACAATTTAAGTATTACTTTTAAGGAGAAAAGTAACGATCTCTTTTGGTAACTTCTTAAATGGTTGGAACAGCATCGACAGTAGCTGTATAATTTTTTTTTACATGTTTTAGGTTTGTTAATGCAAATGTACATATCATATCATGTTGAGAACTTAACCCGCTAAAGTCAATGCAAACAGGGCATATATTGCACTTTTGTAATGTCTCAGAAACAAACTCAGTATAGCAACAAAGTCAATACAGTGCCGACACATATTCAAATATTTGTTTTGATGCTTTCATAGAAGCTTTTTTTCATAAGATCTATTTTATTTCACGATTCACGAAAAACCAGATCAAGTATCGATACTTATTTTTACCTTTCCCTGCAATCTCCAAAATCGAGAAAAACGTGAAATTTGTGCATTCCATATTTAATAATTATTTGCAAATAGTATGTTGCAGCTAAGGGCATCCGAGTGGTAAATGTCCCGCCAGTGAAGAATGTTATGTGAGAAAGCTATGCAGATAGCTTACTGAACGTCGGTGGGTCAACTCAGGTGCCCGTCCGTGCTTGAAATGACAGCTGTTGTTATCTCCAATTTTTTTAAAGGAAATTGTCAAGCTATATATTGTATGCGTATGCCAGTTGTGATTACTTGTTTCCTTGATTGAGTCGATATTCTTCAAACTAAATTATTGTTATATATTTGACAAAACAAACCAATTTGTACACTAAATAATCCATTTCTCACAGACGTGAATATTTCATTAAAACTTCATTTTTATAATTAATTTTCCCGAAATTACTGCATTTCATGTACAAAAGTTTACTTAATCAATTGTAACCGGATTGCTCTGACAACAATTCATTATTGATGACATACCAGGTGATACAAATATTTATATCCACTTGCATGCCTGTCTGGTTTCTACGCCGATTTAAACAAATTTTGATAATATCACGAGTGCCGGTCACCCACCTAACCGGTTTAATTTTTTGATAACCTACCAGTAATTGCCATATTCTCAAAAAATGACCGATTACTTTTCCAACACTCTGAATAAGAGGTGATTGACTAGGCACCGTGATAGCATCAATAGTGTATATAATTGGTACTTCATTACTTCAATATTCACCAAAGTCATGAACTTTCAACATTATTTATATAGTCGAGAAAGTCCTTGTCTGTCAGATGTGTTAAGCCGACAAATTTAAAAGTCTCCTATGACATATAGACAGGAGGATTAACAATCAAATCTACTTTTCTGCAGCAGATAATGTTATGAGAAACATGCATAATATATCTTCCGACGTCAACCAACGTTATTATGTGTTATTTTCGGAGAATTGTCTTCTGTACATATCTTATTTCTTAATCACGTGCTCAGGAATTGTCTAGCACCAAAACAAATGTGTAAAGTATTATTTTTTTGGGCACAGTAGTTGCTTTAAAGATATGTCTTGGTAGATGGTAACTCAATCCCTTCAAAATAGCCTTATTTTACTCCGATGTGCTTTTATAGGCACTGAATTCCTTTGAACGTGAAACAAAATAAAAATCCAAAACAACAAAAACCCGGTTTGATTACGCCTATTCAAGGCAGCTACTGCAACTTACAATCTATTTTTATCTACCGTATTCACATGGTTAAGCGAAAACTGACATTTACAATGCAGTTGTGCAATTTTGATTTCAGAATCATCTACACATGTTTTCATGAACGTTCAATGCGGCACATAAGTGCCATCCATGAAAAGAGGCGTATGGTCTTTATGTAAAGTAATGTGTGTGCATGAACAAATGAAGAAGAAAACAAACGATTAAACATCTCCTCCCTACACTTACACTCTCGTACGAGTCTGAAATTGTGTATATGACTTTTATCCCAATATAAGAGACGTGATTGATTCATTTCCGTGTAGTAAGTTGAAAATGGGTACACTAAATCAGTACATATATTGATTAACTTTTTCTTGTTGCGTTACGGTTGAAATGCTTATAGTATAGAAAAGAATAATGTAAATATAAAATAAAATGTTGTTCTCTATACATGTATATCTTTATGTAATGTTTTGTTTAAAATTTTAAAACATGTTTTTTTTGTCACAATCTATGTTGCCTTCTTCTTATGTGCAGTCTTAAAATACAGAAAAACAGATTCCCTAAAGGAAGTTCAACACTGCATAATTGATAATGTTGCAAGCTCGGTTTGATTGAGCCTGTTCATGGACTGTACTGGAAAATGCTAGTTACCGTTCACGCCCCCTTAGCACCGACTAAAGACTGACAAATTGTCAATAAAATCTATTCTCAACCAGCGACAATACAAGCAGTTGAATATTTGAAGAAGAAACGCTGGTAACAATAAACAGAACATTTTTATTTGTTGTTCTATTGTTTCATTTCATGTGTGTCTTTATAAAATACGTGGTTATTATTTCAATCCATTACCATGCGACAACTAGTTACAGTAAAAGTGTTGCTTTATTGTTAACTACAATTTCCTCTTTTGACAGCTGTTATTAATAAATGAAAATAAACAGCATTTTATATTTTAGTTTTTACATACGAGACGTAGACCATTTCGTTGTCAAAGAAATTGTGCAGAAGCTAACAGAAACAAAACATATTCATATATGGCAATTCCTTTATTATAGCAGTTAGTATAATGAAATATAAAATTGAATTTAATGAATACTCAGTTGGAACATTTATACATTTCAGAAGATGGTGGTCTCTTTTTGTGAACGCTTTTTATTGTAGGGATATATTGTTTATTTGGAATATTCTTATTCATCTTTCTCTATCCCCCTTTTTTCTTTTCTTTTTATTTAATGTTTTTCTTCTTCTTTCTCCTTTGGCATTTTTCCTTATTGCTCTACTATCATACATTTTGGTTTGTAACTGTCTTATTATTATTAGATAATTCCATATATCAGGGAAGAACCGTTTGCTGAAGTTGTTAGAACTCGTGGTTCAACCTTTGTGCTACATTAATTTGTATTTATATTATGATAATATTATGTTATGTGTAAAAAAGAGCAAAAAGATATGTTTAAATCAAATCATTTTCAATCATTCATTCATTCATTCATTCATGCATTCATTCGTTTATTCATTCATGTATTCATTCATTCATTTATTAATTATTTATTTTTTTATTCATTTATTTATCTGTTATGTGTTTATTTTATACATTTATTTATTCATTTGTTTCTCCTCCAATAAAGAATTCTCAATAATATTCCAGATAATGGTTAGCTGATTTAAAGGCAAAATAGGTACAGATTACGCTTGGTTATCTTTAAAAATGTGTACATATTATTAAGCGTATTTTGTGATTTGACATTTAATTAAAGGTTCAAATTGTACCACAGATATGATCATGCTGGCAATGCTGACAACAAATAAAATATAATACATGTAGTATGATTTTGAGTGACACTGTACTTGTTGCTATATATAAACAATCAATGAAAATTTAATTCAATATAATGTGTTAATATAATTGTAATAAAACATGAAAATGCTTATTCTCAATCTTATTTTAATGTTTCTATTTATCATGAACTTGACATTTATTGAACTTGTTTTGCACTTTAATATTATTCTCACAATTTCATTTAAGTTCTAAAACATGCCAATGTCCTATGGGCACTTGACAATAAGTTTGTTTTCTTCTAAAATTTGCGTGGTATTATATTTAATGTATTTGTTATAATTTTGCGCGATAACAAACAATAATAATGCAATTAAAATAAATTATATTTAGATAAATAGCATTTATGTAATAACACATGGACACGTTTACGAGCATTTTATTTGTTTTACTTAATATCACGAATTTTATATTAACATTTAAACTTATTGCGAGCTTTAATATTTGCAACAACAATTTTAATTTATTGCCAAGGGGAGGCGGATATCCCCTAAATGAGAAATGTATTACTCAAGGTTTATTCTTGAAAAAAAATCCCAGCAACTTTACCCATTAAAATGGACGAAAATAAAATAACTAAAGAAAAGAATGCAGCAGATATAACATTACTGATTTCTCCACTTCTGTTGCATATTATTGAAAGAAAAAAATGAATAAGTTTTCTAAAAAATCTAGAAAACATGTTTATTTTTTGGCAAATCAGTACTAATCGATTACAATTCCGTTGTGAAGTACAGGAAACTATCTAATATTAAAAACCAATTTATTATGTTGTCCTTTAACAATAAAACATATTAGTATAATAAGATATATCTAATAGCATATTAGCAAAGGGTCTCCACTGTTTTTTTTGTTTTGTTTTTTTTGGACGTGACGGGACTGGAAATTTTTCGAGATGAATGTTTGATTTGATGTGTTTTGTTTTATTTGGTTTTACGGCGAACCGACATATTTTAGTTCATGTGGCACAGGAACAGGATGATTCGATACGATTTTGTCTAATTTCGAGTGTTTAAAACATAAAGCAGCACCAGGGCTAAAAACCGACCACATCTGCTGGAGCTAAGAGAATGCATATACTCCAGTATTCCCAAACCATATAATCTGTGTCTGCAATTATGTTGCCGAAACTTTAAGAGGTAGCCCCTCAGCCACAAGGGGTTACGTTTGATGAAGACCAATAACTTGTATGCAAACTTCAGATCATTCGCACAGTCCGATCGTCCAGAATTATGATTAAAATTGTAAAGAAAAACACAAAAAAGCCATAATCAGAAATTGATAAGCGGTGCAATGTTTATACTACACTTTTCAATTTAGTCTCAGTATATTTTTTTTTTATTTTACATACCTTTCTCTTTTAAGTGTCATAGTTGATCTATGTAAGAATTTCAAATTGTATGGACCTCAGTTTAGTTCCTTTTAAATTTAAAGATTTCGCTAGCACAAAGAAAAACACCATGTTCTTGAGAATGACATTTTGTCATTTCGTTTCCTCTACTCTAGACGCGAGGCTTTTGTTCAAGCGCACTGCGAATAATTATTGTCAAATCACGAAATAAATCTGTAAACTTATCATTATATTCATTCTTTATTACATAACTACGAGTTCAAGGATGTGAATTACTTGAAATTCAAAGTGCATTGTTTCATGCTGAGAAACCTTGAAATGATGCATACATTTATAATTTGTTTCCTTATCGAAACACGCAGACTATAGATTTTTGCTTTTTTATATCGTATCAGGCATATAATTAACATTTATGTTTTGTTACTGCCAAGGACATTCTGGTTTATAAGGATCAGTAATACCAGAACAAAGCCACTTATCTAACACATCTGCTTACAGTTAAGAAGAACGATAACAGGGAAAGGAAAATGCAGCATATGCATTTGAAAATTTGTTTAAGTTTAGTATTGTTATCAAGTGTTTGTTTTGCTTCTTTTACGTCGACAATCTGGGAAAGGATTGATCCAAAACTCTGGAAGGTCGTGGAATCAAAAAGAATTATTGCGCAAGCACTTAATAGACGTCCTATTAGGTGTATTTTTGCCTTGAAAAAGCATGACGTGAGTATATATATTTATTTTTAAAATACAAAACAAAACAAACTATTTAATAAAATAATAAATGTGCATTAAGTTTAAGTATAGAATGGTATTAAAGACAGGTGTTTGATAAATTTCCGAACTTAATTATTCATAACCCACACCAAACGAGTATAATCTGATTCAAATGCACTTATAAGTGAAGATTTATTTAGTCATATTATGAATGTATCATGACATTTCTCCATTTGTAGCTTTTTTCCCCTTAGTTGTCTTTTCTTATAATACACCGCCAACCACAGTACATGAATTTTACTTATTTTACTCTGGAGTTACCGGCATCACATGTGCGCTTTCTGGGTAATTTTCATTTATTCAGAAATAGCAATTATTAGCTTAGTTTTCTTCAAAACGTTATGGAAATAAAAAAGAGTATACTCGCTCGATTAAAGCAGTAGATAAAATCAATTTCATGCACTAATCTTTCTACAAACCTTATACATGGTTATTATTATTTCATTATGTTGCTTGGATGTTATTGTTATTGATATTATTAATTTAGAACAACCCAAACTGCGTCAATTATATAAATAAATGTACCTATATTTTGCTTCATTATCAATGTATAAACCTACTGCACCTACTGAAATATCGAAGATTATTTAGACTAAACAAAATAAGAAAGGATTCAACAAAGTTCATCATTGAATTGCTGTTTTATATTAAATAGTTACATTTTTTTGTATTCTTGAATTCAAGTGGTCAAAATAAATAATGCATTTGCCGCGTAGACAATTTCAGATAAAACCTTTACGCTTCATAATAAAATTAAAAAAATGCGTTTATTTACCTCCGAAAGGCCTCTTGCTTCCACAGTTGCACTTTCATTTGATATTGTCTTTCAGCCAGCCACTAATATCAAAGTCATCCGGATCCGATTTGAAGCTGTTGGAAATACGCTACCAGTGGTATACTTTTTTATATTTTAAACATTAAAAGACGTATTGGTATAAGCATATTTATTTAAGCTCGATTGCGAAACAAGTTCTTGCAACTGATATTACTCATTTTCGAGTCCGCTTCCTGGAACCAGCCAGTACTGGTGTCATGTGAAGAAACATGGTCGTGACCCAAGTAGGGCTCGAACCCATAATCTCTGGGTTGAGAGGCAGACACCTTAACCAATATGCCACCGCTCCCCTTGTAAAATTAAAGACGCATTAAGTCTGAAGATACTGTATTTTATGTCCAAATAACTTTCTACTTTTGGTGTTCTTTTACAATTTCTGGAAAAAAAAGGAAAACACAAAAAAAAATCTTATAAATGAAATATCTTTGGGTGCTTTTGCTTTATTGTATCAAGTACAGTAATAATGGGTCAGCCATTGTATTGAAGTCAAAATGACACCACTTTGTTCGTGTAATGCTACCTAAATGACAAATAAGTTCACATTCAACAATACTAACCTCTGATCAACATCTTTATTGAGTTGTTACTCTTAATATGTTTGACGAAACAAGTACTTCAGTGCTTAAGTCACTATAATGTGCCTATAATGTGCCTTAAAGTTGTTATCTGTGTAATATATTTCTTTTTGAAACAAATCAGAATTAAAACACGTTCTAAAGGATTCTTCTGTACACTAGGATATACTCAGACGAATATGAAGCTGGATAAATAAAATTAATCTTCCTTTATGGTACATATCCATTGTTATACATTTTCGCGACTTGCATTCGTACAAACCCTGTTTAAAAGCATGTCTTCTTTAGCATTCCTCATTGCATATCAAGCTTGTATTCACGTAAATTTTAATATAAAGAAAGTTTTTTCCGCTTTTGTACAAAAAAAATTTAATAAATGAAAATTATAATGTTTTAACCCAAATTGGTTCAACCAATTCTTTAAAAATTGTTGTTTTCCAAAATTTTGGACAAGCGTTCCATTTTGTGTTTTTGTCAATTTTGTCGCTTTGGTTTTTCTTTCTAATTAGGAATTCTGTTTTTTCACTATTATATAACATAACTTTATATTTTGATGCTAATTAATTTAATTATTTTATCATTGTATATTGATAAGATATAACTTATACAAATAAAACAATTAGAAATTTTTTTAGTCAAATTTAAAATTGGTAAAAATTTGAAAAGTTTGTATAATCTTTTATTTTTATTTTTTTAAGGCCAAACAAACAATTGGAGGGCATTTAATTAACCATTTTTTTTAAGGAAATATTTCGGCGATGTAATTTTACCAATGGGGCCCGGAGTTTTTAAAACTCGGGTTGTTCTTTTTTAAACTTTTTTAAAAACACTTAAATTAATTGAAATTACACATAATTTTATAAAATTAATAAAAAAAAGGTGTTTAAACAGGTTGTTTTCATTAAAAGGATTAACTAAACAAATGTTAATATTTATTTGAAGGTTATTTAAAATTCGTTTTTTTTAAATAACGAGTTTATTCCTTCGGAAAGTTTTAAAATCAAAATTTCACCATACAATTACTCTTATTGTTATGAACAGGAATAAACCCGGGGCTTTTTTTAATTTGGGCAACCTCAGAAAAAGTTTTCCAATTGCAAGAATTTCTTAAAAAATTTTTATATAAGAATTTGTTTGTGAAAAGGTTAAACATTATAAATGCATAATAATCAAGGATGTTCTTCATTTTAATTTTAGTTAAAAATTTAACAATTTTCTTTGACTTAAATAACAAATTAAATTCCTCAAAACAAAGCTTTAAGAAAAAACACCAAAAAAAGAAATTTTTTTTTTTTGTTTTTTATTTGTTTTTTGGGTTTTTTTTTTTTTTGGTTGAAAAAAAGAAAAAATTTTCCGCTGAAATTGGGCAACTATTTTATTTAAACTTTTTACCCAAAAACAGGTTATCATTAAATTTAAATCCTTTTTTTTATTTGCAGGTTTCAAATTTTTTGTTCTTTCCCAAAAGATTAAAAAGCGTTGGTGGAAAATAAAATTTTGTAAAAAATTTTAATTTTTAAGTTTTTAAGGCCATTAAATTTGATTAAAGTTCATTGTAAATTTTTAATTTTAAGTTTTCCTTTCAATTAAATTAAACTAAAATTTATTATGTTATAAATTGCCCCAAGGTTTTTTTGGTTAAAAAACAATATCATCAAATACAAATTCAATTCAAAATGAATTAACCTGGTTTCCCGCCTTTGCCCTTGTCTGGCCTGTTGGGGACCTCCTTGGGCTCCTTGCCGCTGGTCCTTTTTGCTGGGTCGTTTGGGTTTGCGTTCACCAAACGCCACCTTTTCTTGTTGATCTTGTCTGAACTAGCTCAGAATATAAAAGATCTTTAATAAATGATTATCAAAATAGTAAAGAACAGAATCTCTAACAAACGCAAAAAAAACGGAAAAGAAAGTGTTTCGTTTGTTTATGGGCGGTATTGGTAACTGCAAACTACCGTCCAAATACCCTTGCACCGACTTCAGCAGTATTCATAAAAAATAGTGAACATTTAGAATTTAAAAACATCCGGTTATGTGCTTATGCGGCTATTACCATGAAAGATTTTAATGCGACACATCATATAATTGCACGGAAAAAAGTGTAGGGTATATGTAGAACAGCTCAAACGAGAAGGTATGCTCACCTTACATGTTTGCTAAAAAAATTTATTCAACGTATTTCGTTTCGCAAACGATACATAACTACAACACATTTTAATACAATTACACAGACATACAGCACATAGAGACGTCTGATATCTCCGATGAATTACTTAACTAGAGGCAAATAGACAGTCTGTGTCCGGATATAACTCAAATATTAACAAACAAACAAAAAACATACACACACAAAACCACATTTCAAATAATCTCAGAAAGAGTAACTAAATGGGACTCTTATGAGAGACAACTAGTTTGCTCGTAAATATTCATCCTGTGGTTGTCAAGACTATAAATAATTATATTTTTTTCTGTACAAAACTTGCAAATTCTAAATGAATAGACCATTTATTTCTCTTGTTATCAATATGAGTTTATTGGCCTAAGAGATGTTTTATTACCTATTCCTATTGCTCAAAGCTTGCATTTTTATTGCATTGTCATTTTTTAGTTTCTAATATTTTTGTTTTGGTGAATTACCGAGTAAATCATCTTTTAATTATTTTACCTTTTGTTATTTAAGTAGTACATATGGAGTGAGTTTGTATTTGTTTGGAAGACAAACTACTACTTTGCTTACATTCACCTACATTTTTGACAATTAATTGCACATGCAGTCCTTTCTTCGGCTTATAAGCATACCTTTAAATAATTACTTACTAGTCATGAATGGTATTATTAATAAAAAAAACCGAGTCTGCAATGGTCTGTTGTGGCGCCCTATGACATAAAACTGTTGTTGTAAAGACGTAAAAACAAGCAAACACAATATAACAAAATAGCATAGAGAAAAACATAATACATGGTTTTTGTGATTTTTTTTTCTCATTTTGCCGCATACATAGCCATGTCAATAAAATTGTCAACACACAATTATATTATGAAACTTTTTCAGTCGTAATAGCATCTGGCTATCATGATGACAAAGTACGAGCTATCAAGTCATCGGCATGTACCAGTTCAATTAACTTACATACAAACATTGATAAATAAATTCCTTGTAAAACATAACGTTTTAATTCAAGTTCAAAGCAATTTTATTGTAAGCAATTTTAATCTGATGTCAACAAACTGATATAAAGAATATATTTGGCGCCATAAGGGTTTCTTAAGAAACGAAATATAACTATTTTGGTTGTTCTTTATTAGTTGAGTTTCCGAAAATCTTTACTTTACCCTGGTGACTATTGAGTTCATATCCATAAAACATGACACTTTTTTCCTTTTGTCTGTTGTGTTTTATTTTTATTGAAATTGAAATGTAGACAAAATGTCTAATTTAAACATGTCTTTGGATAGCTTAATGGAATAACACATACCATGAGTCTAAACCTGCAAATTATCATATGTCTGAAAAGAGACATTATCATATGTCTGAAAAGAGACATATATGTCTTTGATTGCGATTATAATTCTTCATCCAGACAGTGATACAGGTCACACATGTTATTTTATCTCACAATGATAGGCAAATTTTACTTTTTTAACTATCAAAATAACAGAATAGCAATTTAATTTGTTTCTACACATCGAAAAGACGCAAAAAAAACAACATTTTAATTACATCGAATGCTTACATGTAAAATCGTATTTTTTTTTACACTTATATCAAACTAAAAATTAAACAATCGATAACCAACAGGTTACCAATGTGACTTATTCTGTAAAATCGTACCACTAAAATATTTTGATAGAACGCTATATTGAAATTGTAAGGTATTGTACTCATTATGAAAATTTCACAATCATAAAGGATATAATTATTTTACGAAACACTTTCATAACAAAATATTCAACTACCGTGAAGGAGCCGAAACAGGGTTCATATTGACGTTCAGAAGCAAAAATATATAAATCGTTTCCTTTTTTCCTTTATCCGGCTGGTGTCTGTTTCTTAATAAAAAAAATCTAAATAAACATTTTGTAAAAACAAACTCGAATAAAGATCTACAAGGCAAAGTCAGCGTGTAAAAATCAAAATAAATTTAATACGTATACATTATATCTATATATCGCTCAACCTAAACGAGTGTTCAGTATTCAAAATATATTATAATGTAATATATTTTCTTTCCATGCTTCTGAGGAATCCCCCCCTTTTTTCCAGAATTATATATTCCCCATTCAACTGATAAGTTAAAGTTATGCATTACAAATGCTAGTCTTGTTTTTGCTTACTCCTTTATTCTTACAGGAAACGATATGTATTTATCTAGTGTGTGTATTTGATAAAATTATTAAGCAACCGATGTTCAAAATAGATTCAACATTTGAAGAAAGAAAAATCATCACAATTTGCTTTGTGTTAAAATTAAACAATCGATA